ACATCAAACTTATGTTAACATGATATATTCACCTCCCGAAATTGAACGTTTTCGTTTACCAAGTGATGAAGCTAACTTAGGTGCATTTAACTAAATTTGATTGGAAATTAACTGCTCTCACCGTTTTTTTAATTCTCTAATAGTCCACTTTTGCAGTCAAACGTTTCATCAATTATTTATTTTAAAATATACTCGCATGAAAAATAAATATTTAAAATAATACTCCGGTATGTTAAAAATTATTTTTCAATGCAATATTATAGTGTAATTATATATTGCAATTCATTTTATGAGACAGAGTAGTTTTTTATTGAAGTGTATTTTCTTGTGTTAATTGAAGTGTTTAATTAGACCGAATGCTTAATACGTTAAAAAACATACTCCATCCGTCCCTGTGTATTTCATTTTTGATTTTTTGGTCAAAGTTTGTCAACTTTGACCTCAAATAAAATAAAAATGATATTAGATATTGATACAAAAATAGTTTTATTAGATTAATTGAATGAAATATTTTTAGAATAATTTTTTATCTAATAAAAATATAATATATATTTTATTTAATTATAGATCAAAGGTTGAAAATAATTGACTGAAAAAAATAAAACTGGACAAATACTCAAGAACGGAGGTAGTACTCTTTAGATTTCATACTTGTGAATGGTTGTCATGACTCTACTTGTATAAATGTCATCTCTTTATTGAAAAAATATTAAGGACCCTGATTTTTCATTTTTGTTTTAAAAAATATTAGTGCTATTAAATTGATTGCAATATACTCCGTAGTATGGAGTATCTGTTTATACTAGGGGTAGGCACGACTCACGAGTAAGAACGATCTCGGCTTGTAATCATCCTCGTCCCCCGTTCCAATCCGATTCGGTATAGAAAGGTGTCAGTCCGTGGCACATCGATCATTGTCCTACTTTGTCGTTTTTGTTTTGGGACCAAGGTAATTTAGAGTGGTTTGAGATATCCTAATTCAAGCTTTTTATAAAATGTAAACATACAAATTTGTAAGAGGTTAACTCTAAAACTAATTTGAAAATTTTATGCAATCATTTTTAATAAATTCTCAAACAAAAGTGCAATAAAAACATAAGTAAACATTAAAAAAATAACATTTATGTTTGTAAATCTTATGAAATTCCATAAAAAGTGTAACTTGAATGAATATTTGGGTTTAAACATAAATGCACAAGACAACGGGCGGGACGAAACAAAACTTATATTTATCCCGGACCAGTTCCATTTGAATTGGCTCGAGACAGTTTACAAAATTTCGTCATCCCAAACTAATCGGACACTATAGAGACGGGGCCGAGATATTTTGGAATGGGACAATGGGATCAAGATTCTTGCCCACCCCTAGTTCATACTTTCTCAACCTAAAGATGCATAGTCAGCTAATGCATCCTCAATAGAACTTGAACCTAGGTGAGCTTTCCCATTAATTTGGGTAGTGAACTTTTTGACCACTATAAAAGAAGAGGGCACAACCGATAGATCCCTAAGGACATACAGAACCCTTATTTGTTGCTAAAAAGAGAATATTAGCGATAGAAAAATTATTTGAAGGTCAAGTATTGAAGAATGAATATTTTCACATAAATTATTATGGGAGATTACATGTGTATATATACAAAGGTTTCCTAGTGATAATAGGAAACAATATTAAATGCACCCTATACAATTATGGTAGCTACCAATATACATTAATATTAAATATACTAAGAATATATTTAACATGCTCCCAACGGCACTAATGAAGATCGCCGCACGCCCAGACAATCTCGAAATTCGGAGAAGATCATAGAGGGTAGTCCCTTGGTGAAAATGTCTGCATACTGTAAGGAAGAAGGCACATGAACTACACGTATCTGACCAAGAGCTACTCTGTCACGCACAAAATGAATGTCGACCTCAATGTGCTTCGTGCGCTGATGCTTGACAGGATTAGCCGAAAGATAGACAACACTGATATTATCACAGAAGACCAGTGTGGACCGTGTCAGGGGTTGCCGGAGTTCAAGAAGAAGATTGCGTACCCAACTAACCTCAGCGACAGCATTAGCAACAGCTCGATATTCTGCCTCGGCACTAGATCGAGAGGTGGTGAGTTGTCGCTTAGAAGACCAGGAGATGAGATTGTCGCCTAGAAAGATGCAGTAACCGGATGTCGAGCGGCGAGTGTCCGGGCAGCCAGCCCAATCAGCATCAGAGTATGCCCGCATGTGATCCGTCAGAGAAGGTGATATGGTGATGCCATGGGTAGGTGTACCGTGAAGATAGCGCAGGACGCGCTTCATGGCTGTGACGTGTGGCACACGAGGATCATGAAGAAATAGACAGAGCTGCTGTACGACATAGGTAATATCTGGACGGGTGAAGGTGAGGTACTGCAGTGCTCCTACAATAGAGCGATATAAGGAGGGATCTGGCGCTGGAGGACCAACGGTGGCCGAGAGCTTCCCGCGGGCGTCCACTGGTGTAGAAACAAATTTGCACGAGGTCATGCCGGCCCGTTCGAGGAAGTCATAGATAAACTGAGTCTGAGTGAGAAACAGGCTGTGCGAGGTCCGCTGGACATTGATCCCAAGAAAGAAGTGAAGGTCACCCATATCGGTCATAGCAAACTCCCCTTTTAGTCGTTCAGTGAGCTGATGTAGAAGAGCAGTAGATGAGGCGGTGAAGACAATGTCATCAACATAGAGCAGTAGTAGGGCCATGTCATGACCGCGGCTGTAGACAAACAACGAGGTGTCGCTTTTGCACCCACTGAAGCCAAGAGATAGGACAAATCCTGTGAATCGCTGGTACCATGATCGAGGGGCTTGTTTGAGTCCATAAAGGGCCTTGTTGAGTTTGCAGACATAATGGGGACGAGCAGGGTCTTGGAGTCCCGAAGGCTGAGCGGTGTACACAGTATCTGAGAGGTAGCCCTGCAAGAAAGCATTTTTGACGTCGAACTGATGGATCGGCCATCCTCTAGACACGGCAAGGCTCAAGACGATGCGTATAGTGGCCGGTTTGACAACCGGGCTGAAGGTCTCGTCATAGTCGATGCCATGGCGTTGATTGAACCCACGAACAACCCATCTAGCTTTGTACCTGGACAGTTCACCTATGGGGCCAAGTTTGTGGCGGAAGAGCCATTTACCGGAGATAACATTTTGGTTGGGGGAGGGGGGTACTAAATCCCATGTATGATTAGCTATCAAGGCATTATATTCATCTAGCATAGCATTGTACCAGTTAGGATCTTTGAGAGCACTACGGTAGGTAGGGGGTATTGGGGAGATGGATGCAATGATGTTTAGGTTTAGGATTTGTTTGGGGCAAAAGACGCCGGCCTTGGACCGGGT